AGTTGTTCCCGTGGAAGGACGACCAGAGAATACTGGCAGGATCACTGTGGTTTGCTTTGGACGACGGCGATCGAGGGGTGCAGATGGCGGCATTGCTGGACTCGCTGAGTTCATTCATACTGACAGGGACCCGCGGCTTAATCTATAGCAGCGGTCTGATACATTTTCTTGCTGTGTTAGGCATAGACCCCGAGATGAGACGGTTCCGGACTGCGAAGAATTACTTATATATGCTAGCAGGTGTGGTGTACTGCACACGAGTGCTTGGGGCAGCCAAACTACTTCCCGCAGTACAAAACAGCAGCGAGACTGACGACAACTACGAGAACTTTTTAGAGATGCGCCGCAAGTATCTCGCCGATGGGTCGCTTAGTCCAATAAGCGAGATGATTAATCTGTTGGCGTACGGCAAGCACATTGCACACAATCAAGGCAACACAGGCAACGCATACTAGTCAGAGGACAAGAAGATCTTTTATCTCAACGGGCAGCCGATATCTATCGCACGGTTCTGCAAGATGGCTTAGAGCAGTATAGAGGATGTGTCTAAGCAGCTGTGGTCGCTGCTGTGGGTGTAGAGGATGGAAGATCGCTTGTTTATCGATCTGGCGTAGATTAAAGACGACATGTCTTTTACAAAGCACGGCATGTCTTTTGTAACTTAGACTAGCAACAAGCTTACAGATAGGCTGGCGTGGATGCTTTAGAGGGCTCGCAGCAAAGAGGGTGGCATGCGGCTGCAGACACTAGATGGCAGGTGGAGAGGCAAACGGGTCGGACAGTATCTGCGACAGGTCGACTGGTTTTTAGAGCTGCTGCTTTTCTGCGTGCATGTTACGTCTGGACAGCCTGGACGTGGGTCCGAAATCACGACGATTCGACACCACAATGGATTGCTGCAGGACCGCAACGTGTTCGTGGTTGATGGCAGGATTATGACGGTGGTTCGCTATCACAAGTCGCAGTCGCAATTTGACAAGCTAAAGATTATGCCGCGCTTCTTGCCCCCGCAGCTAGGGCAGGTGATGGCCGTGTATCTAGCTTACTTGCAGCCGTTCCAGGAGTATCTAGTCGTCGAGGTGTTAGGGGGCGGGTTGAGCGACTACGTCTGGAGCGACAAGCACGGGGCTTGGAACACAGATCGACTAACGAGAGTTATTAAGCGCGAGACGGGTAAGCGACTAGGCGTATCGCTGCACACGCTAGGATACCGTCATACAGCTGTAGGGATCGGAAGAGTTAAGGTGGGGGAGTCGTTTAGCAAGGGATATCAAGACGAGATTGGAGAGTTAGACGAATCTGAAGTAGACGAGGAGCAAGAGGATATCATCGAGCTGCAGAACTCGCGGACGACAGCAATGGGTGTAGGCAACTACAGCGTACCAATCGATATCGTTAAGCATCTCAGCGTACGGTCGATTGATGCGTTCCGGCAGCTTAGCGTAGCATGGCACCGCTTCTTGGGGGTAGATGGGAGCGCAACTAAGTACGTCGAGCCGAGCAGAACGACAAAGAGGCCGATGCAAAACAGCACGTCAGCGCTTGTCAGGCTGCTGAAAGAGAAGGAGGTCCGTGTCTTAGACCCGCGGGCCTAACCAATATGAGGCGCGGGTTATCCCATAACCCGCGCCGAAACAGGCTTAGCGTTAGGGTTTCTGCCCGTATCGGGCCATTTTGACCCCCCAAACCCGCGTTGTTTTGACACCCATAAGCCGCACTATTTAGGCTTAGCGTTAGGGTTGACTTAACCCCAAGTACACCCCAATATAGGCCCCAGAGGGTGTCATAGCATATATAGTGACTAAGAAAGTCTTTTGCAGTCTCCCCAATAGCAGTGCGAAACTCGCAGCGTTGTATATACAAGTGTATGGGGTAGTCGCTGCATCTAGGGTTAGGGTTAGGGCTTAACCCCAAGCTAACCCCCAAGTTTAGGGTTACCAAGAAAGTCTCAACAGCATCGCGACACAACAGAACAACGCCCGATGGGGGTATCTTGGAAAGTTTTCTAGATGCCCCCTAGGTATCTCTCTTTTCTATCTTCTACTAGTTGTTGCGTGAGATTCAGACAAGGGCTTGACCCCAGCAACGCTGTTGCTAAGAGAACCGGGGTAACGTCGGACTACTAGTTGCATTAGCACAACAACAAATATA